TTATTGTACTTAATTAAATGGTAATAAATAATAGATAATACTTCATAGTAAATGGTTTTTTTTAATTACTGCACTTTATAGGTATACTTAATTTCGACCAACCTTGAACTTGTTTTTATATATTTTTTAAATTTGTTAGTTACAGTATGAACTACTTACGTAGAATCTTATTTTAAATTTTTAAATATATTTTTTCCTTAGCTAAAAAAATTGAACATTTTTAACTGCGAAATAATTTGTAAACTTTCAGTATGATAAATTGCTCAAAAAGATCAAAATATTTTGAAAGTTATACCATATATTATAAAATAAAAAATATAAATATAAAAATATATAAAAATATCAATACATCGAGTGTCTAGACAAACATTTTTAAACAGGTATACCTGTATAATGTAAAATATAATTTTATTGAATAATTATAATGAATATTATAATACCACGGAAATAAAACCTATTACCTATACCTTTATATAATATATTCTGTACATAACATTACAATAGGTACTAATAAATAATAATCATTAAATAATTGTGTGTGATTCCCCGAATAATACCGATTACGTTGTATAGGGGCATCATAGTGACCGGATATGTACGGCTGTGATTTTACCTACGCGCATGCACATGTCAACCACATATTGGCTTATAAAATTAATAACATTTTTTTTTTTTCAAAAAATACGGCCAATGACTTCAATCACTACGCTTAGTAGAATGTTCCGATTTAAATTTAGAAAGCAGATTTGAATTCTCCTCTAAATTTACTATGCTTTGACTGTCGTACATTTTTCATATTCAATATCAATGGATTTAAATTTGAATTATAAAAATGATCAATTTTTACTCTTTTTGTTAGTAAATTCCTAAGTAAAAAAAAAATAAAAATCAGAAAAATAAAATTGTCAAAGCATAGATAATTTAGTGACGAATTCAAATCGGCTTTCAAAATTAAAATCAAAACATTATATTGGGCGTAGTGATTGAAGTCGTGAGCTATGTTTTTGACCGAAAATGAATCACGCTCCAGCCCCCTTAAATCACTATATGCAGTGTAAATATACTAATATCCACAAATACATGTTATAATGTATGAGTCAAAGTGTTTTTATAAATAGTTTTATAATAATATACTGCTTCAGATCAAAAATCAAAAACTATATTCAATAAATAAAAAAATTGTGACATAAAACGATGGCAAATATATTACGCTAAAGAATAAAATATAAATCGCTTAGTTTCAAATTCCTCGAGAAAGAAAATGTAAGAAATAAATAAACACTATGCAAACACTTGACGCGGCTACGGTAGTATAGTGGTAAGTATCGCCGCCTGTCACGCGGGAGACCGGGGTTCGATTCCCCGCCGGGGAGGCAATTTGACGCGGCTACGGCGATGGTGGTCTGGTGTTCGCAGTGAGCCGGTCGTGTAGCGCCGGTGAGTGGCGCGTATAGGTACGGTAAGAATAGAATATACACCAGGGTTATTAAGAGGTCCTCGTGGAACGTATATTGATAGTACTTATAACGGTGATGATGACACAATAGATACAATATAAAATGTTAATGTCGGAATAGAGATGTGTCGTTCGCGAACGAACGGATCAAATTGAACGGGTTTACGGGTCAAACTTGTGAACGAAACAATCCGGATCGTGAAATAATAAAAAGTCGTTCGTTCGTTCATTCGTTCAATTTCGTTCTCGTTTGGATTCCACTGCTACCAACTCAAAATTCTTAATAATGAGTGATCCGAACTCATTAGGTAATCGGTAATCACATTTCACTCTATGATATTTTTAAACCGCGATTTAGTTTATCTATTGTCTTGTCCGTGATCACAAAAACAATAATGATAATTGATTATATTATATCAAATAATAGTAATAATACAAGCTTCATATCTATGACCAGCCATTGAGGATTTTTGATAAAACATTTTACATATTATTAATTATTATTTATTTACCTTTGGTGAATCCCAATTTTCTATCTTTGTTGTTGTATTTATGTCTATGACCATGACACAATAATATAATAACAAACAGTACACACAAACTTTAATAAACGATAATCAGTTAATCAAACATTAACATTATTATATTATCTAATATCTTTATAGGTACCTACTACCTACCTCAGGATTTACCATTATTACTTTATAAATAGATATTACCTACTCGTGATTCGTGATACTTGTCCTATTAGCCTTTAAAAGCTTTGTAATAACACAGAATACGTTAAAATATTAAATTTATACTGTGGTAATAACTAATAAGTAATAACATACAATTGATTGAAATTTGGATGTAACAACTAACAGGTAGGTAAGTTATAATTTATTAAATATACATTGTGCCTTAAGCATTGATATTATAATAATTTATTTAAAATTATAATAAATAATTTTTAAAATTCATACAGGTAATATAAATTATTTTTGTACTGTATAACATGATTGATATAGTAATAGGTATAATATAATAATTTTAATTTGATTTATTTATCTAAAAATTAAAATACCTCATGGTAAAAATAAACAGTTAAATATTTATTTTGCTTAAGTACATAGGTACTTACTTTTTAAATTACTTGATTGACGTTTAATTTTTGGTCATTTTACATTTTAACATTTCCTTATAATTAATAAACAAATTATATTATGTGTAATAATAATAATAATAATAATAATAATATGTAATATGTTGAAAATTACATATTATGGTTTAAAAACAAAATCTTCGATATTTTTTTTGATTCAAGCCTATTTCTACGGTCTGTAATGACCTGTCCTGCCTTTGAAAATAACCTTTCACATGGAACGGATGTGGCTATGATACAAAGACGAGTTTTAACTATTTCATAGAGTCGTGGGTAAACTTTTTGTCGCTCTGACCACCAGAGTAGTGGATTTTCATGTCTACTGATAATTTGTTCATTCAAATATTTGTCTAGCTCAATTATGCCTGCTGCTGTAGAATTATTTCCACCGATAGCATTAACCACAGACTTGTCAAAATCTCCCCAGATTGCCGAGTTGGAATACTGAGGTGCTGAAGAAGATGATTGTTGAGGTAAATCCAACTGCTCTGTTCTTATGCTGCTTTGTAATTTATTACGAAGTTGGGATATACTCCTATTATATTTGTCCTCATTAATAAATCCATGTTTCTTGAATCTAGGATCTAGAATTGTATAGCTTGAGCATTGAGTAAATTGTCTTCAATTCTGTCAAACCTAATCATCAACTTTTCTTTTAAAGTCTTGGCCATATACAGCACTTCACACCAACGGTCGTCACGTGGTCGCGTTGAATTTGCGGCGGGTCGCGTTGTCGGCGACGTCGTTGTTGGTGAACCTTGGTGGTCGAGAGAACGAGCTACCGGCGGCTGGTACTCGTCTTGCGCGACTTGCTTTCCCGTCCCGCCTTGTGCCTTTGTGGCGTGGTGGGAGAGTTGGCGATGTCGCGCTATAGCCACAGATTTCTATATATTACTAGATAGCGAACTCCGGTCATGAATTGAAGCTTCAAGGTCGGTTGGCAATTGTATGGTATTTCATATGACAAATAAGATGATATTATGATTTATTTTATATCGTATTTTATTATTTTTAAACATTAAGTTTACAAAAAAAAAAAATATTTTATATAAGTCATTCTACATTTACTATTTTATTTGACCGTTAAAAAAAATATTATTCCTAATACATTTTGTATAATAAATGAAATGTTTGCCAACCGACAAAATGGCGGCCGTTCACAGCTGAGCTTCACTTGTAACAATGTACATTGTATAAGAGTTCCTTATCTAGTGTAGTATAGAAGTCTGTGGCTATAGCCCGTGGTGGCGGTTGACAGAAGCGTAGACCGGCCGCTGCGGTACCTGTACTTTGTACTGGTTGCCGCTGCGTACCGTGTCACACTCATCGTTGTAGTGTTTATAATTATATGTATTTTGTATAAATTATACTCAAGGGCTAAAGCACAATATTTGAGAGGTCGGCCTCACTGTTATAATATAACATGCAGGTAGGTATAATAATATTTTTTTTATATTCAGAAAATCAGAAAATCACATCTCATGCCACACATAATAGGTATTTATAATATATTGACACGTTTTCGGTAATCTAAAAAACATAATATCGATTAAGACTAAACGTCTAAACCATTTAGTGATTGATAGCTCGCGGAGGCGATAAATATTTAACAAGAAAGGTTTTGTATATTATTTACTGCAGCATTACCATTTTTATTAATTTTTTATAATATAATCTACAAAACCCCTTCGTAAACTACGTATAAAAAAAAACTAAGTAAAAAAATATATAAGATCTTTAAGCACTATTAAAAATGTGATATTATGAATAAATTCTAAGTATATTAAATTTAAGTAATATTGTCTATAGTACGGTAATTTTAAGACTGCAATATTGTAATCGTTATACATAATAGGTACAATATTATACATATAATATCGAAGGAAAGTCAACTCAAAATAAACACACCGTATTTAATCGATTGAAATTATAAATCATTTTATAGTTCAATTAGAAGGTGCGAATATTAATTACTCGTGGATATTACCAAAGGTTAGGTCAGATAAATCTGATGTGAAATACTCATAAAAAAACATTTATATTAAAAATTACCATAATACATTACATATTCACATCACAATGCGTATAATTTTCGTAGGTAAGACATACTACACAATTATTATTCAACGATTGTGGTAATAATATACAAGGTGATTATAAATATTTTGCATAACTTTGAATAATATAGATATACAGTTTACATGTATTTCACTCATATACTGTGAACAGTGTGAACATCAACCCCGAGCGAATGCGTGATATGTTCTCCGATTATTAACAACCACATGTGGTGTCACGCTAACAATAATAACTAAACTTAAACTAAACAAAAATATTACTTTAACGAAGACAATAATAATAATAATATAATAGTATTCAATAGAAATCCATTATATTATTATGACACGGCCGATACTGACGATTGCTTTATTTGCGTCGGTGTTACTGAGCGTTTTATTGCAGTCGGCCGACGGCGCGGGAGCTGACATCGGTGACCACATTTTGCAGCGGGATGCCGCCACTGACCAAATACCCGGTCTTTGGTTGTCCGATCTGTTTTACCGGGCTCTAAGCAACTTCACCTTGCGGCGGGCGGACGGCCCCGCTTGCCGCCGCCAATCCGCCTTGTACGAGGAACATTTGAGCAATCACACTAGTTGGGCCGTCAGAAGTAAGTGATTATTATAATATTATATTAGGTATATTTATTTTCAAATTATTTCCGTCTTTTATAACTTCTACATAATATTATTAAAATGAACGTTTTTAAATACAGTTAAAAATGTTTTACATCATAAAAATCGGACATATTAATTTTAAAAATCCTTTATACATTCATTGCTATTATCATTAATCATATAATATAATTATTATCATATACTATTAATTATAATGTATAACTCGCAGATAACAATAATCAGGGTTGGGATTTTATAGCACTTAAAATTCCATAAATATGTGCAAAAAAAAAAAAAGGAAATCTATTAATACATTTTTAATCACTTACAAATTATTATAGGCATATATTTTATAGGTATTTTATAGGTAAAAATGTTATGAAATAACTTTTATTTCATTATAAATTATAATCTTAATGTGTCTACTATAATAAAACATTAAAAACCCATTATTTTTCAGTGCAAGAATCTTGGGACCGATATCCAGTCGGCTTACTTTCGGGGAACACATATCAGATGGGAGTCTATGACGAATGTGTGGACATACGTTATCCATTGAAAGGACAGTATTGTTTGTCTGAAATAAAAGTAATTCCACCTGCAGGAAGAGATTACAGCTTCAAAAGAACGGAAGATTTAGACGATTTCGGTAACAACCATGCGTGGAAAACCATACTTGGGGTGAATTACGACTTATCTACCTATTATATACGTATAATCGTTATTTATTATTACTCTTTTTTTTGTCCAGATATTTGTTACAATATTACAATACTTGTTTACATTAGTTATACATTTAGGTATTATACGAAATTTCACTCTGCATGTTTACACTGCACTGCTTACTGAACACGCAAAAGTTTTTGTATGTAAATGAATTATGAACTCAAATTTAACATACCCCTTCTCCAGTTTTAGCTTTATTTACTAGGTGGGTCACACATAAAATAGTGATTGGCGATTTTGATACTTACAAATTTTTGAAATTACAACTAAACAATATTCTGGTCCAAATGCAAAATAGGTATACGCTATTCTTTCTTCTGCAGCTCACTCTTATAACTGTAAACATATAATGGTAAGGTTACCTAACCTACAGTTGTTGTAGACAATATGTTTAATAATATGATAATATGATTAATGTATAAACATGATTTTAAGATACCTATACCTATATCTTAGTCAATTCTTATGGTTCAATAAGCAGTAACTATAAATACTTTAGACTTTTATATATAATCTAATCCATATACCTAGGTAATATATGTTATGTCGTTTCAGTGGGCCGATTACCAGGACCAGGTGCCACGAAACCTTTTTCATTTGGGAATATGCATACCAGATGGGTGTTCAGCGTTAGACTTACAGACATCCCTACAAAGAGAATTTGACGAGGCGTTTTCCCCTGAACAGTTCAAAACCGTCGTCAGAGTAGACCCGATAAAGTGCAGGGTCCGCGAAGATATGTATCCTTACGACACGCCGTATTACGTAACTTGGTAAGTAATGTAATTATTATTTCGCCATAATTACAATTGTACAACAGAACTATTACAGCGTACCTATAATTCATTATTATCAGGCATTATAAATTATGCACACTGATTTTTAAATTTCAAGACGATTTAGGTATACTTAGGGAGCGCATGAAAATCCGAAAAATGTTTGTCCTAATCTCATATCTCAGTCAAAAACAATTTTATTTGACATGCTTTTTATCGGAATATTATTTATATATAGGACATTGGTATACGTTTTTGAAAATACTTCTTATAAATAAAATATTTAACAATATTATATTAATCTTCATATTATCATAAACTATAATTATACAATTTTTTTTTTTAGGTGGATATTTTTTCTGCTCGTTCTGATCTGTTGCTGTGCGACGTTACACCATCTTATAAGAATATCATACCAACAAAACACAAACGAAAACGGTGAGAATTAAACGAATACTTGTACCTATCTAAACATATTATACTCACAATTTATTATTTTTAATGTGTAAAAAATTAAAATTAGGTACATCCTTGTGTAACATATTATTTAACAATCATAACTCCACATTTAGGTGAAGTGCCTAGTACATTTCTCTACGAGTTTTCATTTATTGAGTCAATCAAAACATTATTGAAATTCAACAAAGACGATAAAATGCATTTGATTTCTACCCTCAAAGTAATGACGATGGTTTTTGTTCTGTATGGACATAAATTGTTTGCTTTGTTTTCGAATCCTATAAGTAATCCAAAGTTCATCGAAAACGTAAGTTGAGAAATATATTTAAGAATATTATAATATAATACAATACAAACTTTGGCATAGAGGATATTATAGAGTAAAATTATAGAGACGCCCTAATTGAAATAATATGATGCGGAAATGGAAACAAAACACTGTAGGCAAACTATAGAAAATATTTTATCATATTTTGTGAACTATAATACAATATTTACTGTATTTTAATAATTATATTAATTTTAATACATGGCTACTATATTGACATAATTATAGTAACTATATCTGACATTATAATATGTGGTATTTAAGGGACTAGGAAGTAGAAAGTAAGAACAATAAGTTGGACACTAGGGCGGACGTAATTAATTTTTTTTACTTACCCTTATTACTTATAGCCATCTATATATAATATTATATCTATATATTACGCCCTGGCTTTATTTTACCAATGCTATAGCAGTAGACACTGTCAAGTGTGAGGTTACGTTGTTTTATGGGCATTGTTCAATTTAATATTTTACATAGATACCTACATTTAATTAAAATTAGTAACAATACAATTTTATCCTGTTTATATAAATGTATATTATAAATAATTAAATTATGTTAACAATCACAGATATACCTCAACGGGCCAGCTATTATAGTGACTGGTTTGAACGTCGTTGACCCATTTTTTTTCTTTAGCGGTTACATCATTTACACAAGCCTTTCTAGAGAATTTCGAAAAAAAAAGGATGAATCGGTTTGGAAGACACTCTCGATGCCAATCATCGAGCGAATAATAAGGTATATTAATATAAACGCTTTTTATATTTTATGCAAACGATTTCCGTCAATTTTAACTATTATAAATATGTTATAAGAATCAACATAAGTGTTATATTTAATATTATATTCAACATGAAGAATACCTCATCGATAACACAATATTAATATGTCGTTTATTCAGTTCTAATTTCGTTTTATAGATTGTTACCGACTTACTGTGCGATGATGGCAATCACGGCGCATATTGTACCCCACATCGGAGATGGTCCGCTGTGGCCACTTAAGTCGTGGGAAGAAGCCGAGATATGTAAGAACTATTGGTGGACCAACCTGTTGTTCATAAGTAATTTCTTTGAAGTCAACCATCAGGTAATAATGTAATATACGATGTATTTTAATTTTTAATCCACAATGGTTCATTAATACACGATAATTCATATTTATACAAGAAACGTTTTATATTATTATATAACATTCAGCGTGAAAAATTAGATAGGTACCTATCATCACAGTTGTAGGCATGTCGTAGTTCTTCACTTCTCGTTGGTTGCTATTGTTTTATTTTATATACGTGTGATTGATATTTGATAGCCAATAAGAAGTTTGGAACTACGATAAAGGCTAAGTAAAGAGCGTGGTATTTATATCAGAATACTGTTATGAAATACCTACATCTAATTTGTCATGGTATTAAGAACCGCAGATTACGGGTACCAATTTTGTCTTGATGCCAATATTTGTCGATTACTGAATAGCATTACACATAATTGTACGAATTAATGATTAATCTCTATTTATTTCTGTTCCAGTGCCTCTTATTGAGCTGGTACTTATCGTGTGATATCCAGTTTTTCATAATTGGAGTTATTGTCGTTTATGTTTACACGAAAAACACAAAATATGGAATTGCATTGCTTGGCACAATAATTGGTTTGTCGATATCCCTGCCGTTCATAATCACGCTTTGGACGAGAAGAGATGGATTTGATAGGTTTCCTTTACCGTATGTTAAGTATTTTAGTAATTGAAAGATAATTTGAACACACAAAATTGGCGCAACTAGACATTTGAACTAGGGGGGCTTAAGCTCCAGGTTTTTTTGTTTATTCAGTGAGAACCAACAATTAACGATTTTTTAGAGGTTGCTAATTTTGACTTAGGGGTTGCTAAGTACTCAACCCCCCCCCCCCTAGTTGCTCCAATGACACACAAGTAGTGCATCGGATAACTGAGATTGATTTAATATGTTCTCAATTCTGATCTAACGATTATTCTGAATTCGTTATCCACTTATACATTTGAACGTCAACATTTTTATATATAATTTATTCATACAGTTTTCATTCACTATAATGAGTGAAACGACTGAACGGCGTTGTTATTATATTACTATTATTATTATTATTATTATTATTATTATTATAACTACAAGTAACATACCTATCTTTACCTACAAATATTTTTGAAGATTATAATTTAAATATTAGTCGTTTATTTCAAGTTAATTCACTAAATATGTTTTTAATTACAACAAAATAATTAATTAAAATAAAAAATTTGTTACAGTAAGAACAAAAACTTGTGTAATTTTAACAAATATATTACAAATTTTAGTAGTTTTGAAAATTTGAACAGTTATAAAAAATATTGTTACAGACTAGTATTTTTGATATTTTTTTTATTACACTTAGAACACCTTATAAAGAACCTTGAATACAATTTCAAGAATTTGGTAAAACGAATAAAAAAATTGCATAATGTCTCTCAGGTCTATGAATCTATGAAATATAAATAGCTTAAAAAAAGGCAAATTATTTTAAAAATTGTATCATGTCTTTAAAATACTGATTACAACTATTACTTTTTGAATTACAATACAGAATCGCAAAATTAGTTTTGTCGAAAACTGTGTATTGATTCATTAAATGTTTAGTGATTGTCTAAGCAACCCAGTATAAGTATAAATTACGCACGTACAATGCAGCAGCTGCATCTTATATTGCGAAATATCGAAAAATGGTAAAACCTAATTTTTAACGACAATCTTTGGTTTTAAGCAACAGCTTATATTATTATTGAATTATAAAACTGTATAATATAATAATCCGGATATAATTATAAAATTGTTTATAGAAGCCTATTGTTCATGAGAAATGTTTTTTTGTTGAACGAATCGTACCGACCAAGTTACATGCGGGCCACACCATTCTTTGGAGGCTTAGCCATGAGCTTTGTAGTGGAAAGACTGAAGGAAAAAAAAGTGAAATTTTCACAAGTAATTATTTGTATATCTATAGAATGACAGGTGCGTACACAAATAAAAAAATTGCGGGGGGGGGGTCATAATCAATATATATAAATAAAGTACACAACTTTTAATTTTCGTAGAGGAGAGGTCGCCCCCCCCCTGTATACACGCCTGGAGAATTATATCATATATTTTACAAACATTTATTGGTAAATGTATTGGTTTTTATTTATATATTATGATACCCATTGTCACAGTGGCGTCCGCAGGGGGGGGGGTGCTAACGGGCTAAAGCCCCCCCCCCTTTGCCCGTATTATTATTACTTTTTAAAAAAATATGAATCAAGTTTAAACTGTCAACTATAGTAAGCAAGACGTAACTTTCATAATATTATATGTCTTACCAGAATGAATTCATTTTTGAAAAAAACATTGTATTTGCATACCAATTTTCATAAATTATCTGTAATTTTTCGGTAAAAGAATGAACTACTTGTATGAAAGACCTTGTATTAAATTGTCTAGCCTTAGCTATACATATTTTATATTTTATAAGTTTTGAACTACAAATTAACTGTGGTTAAATTGTTTTGAACTTTAAATGCATATGTAAAAAAAACTTGCGTATTACATTTTTAAGCTTTTCGACCGGATGAATAATTTTTTATTGACATTTATAAAAAAAAATTTAATTAGTCAAATACAATCCAAGTAAGAACTATATAACCAAGCAGGGCCGTATATAGAATTTTCTTTAGGAGGGGGATATCAAAATTTGTTTTGTGCTATTGCAACTTTTTGTTAGTTACCTACTCAATGTAAGGTATATAATAATAATAAATGTTGTGTAATGTCACTCACATGCCCACAGGATAACAAAATTATAAATAACAACAGTACTGCAGCAGTTTGTACTTAATACATGGAAAAACATGGGTAAGGGAGGGGGTCTATCCCCCATATCCCCCCATAAATACGTAACTGTAACCAAGCTATTGTTACCAAACAATTTAAATAAGTTTTCATTTTTTTTTCTCCAATTAGGTACTTTTAAAAGCACTGAGCAGATTCAATTTCGACCTCCTAAAAGTACCAACTAGATCCAATTTGCTTCCAAAAACATATTATACTGGGCATCGAAGCTTATGATAAGAGCACTTTTTCTACCAGAAAAGTTGAAAAGTTACAAACATTTTAAAATACCTCAAATAAACGTCTGAAATTTTTAGACTGGACAAAATAAAAATAAATTTGTAACTAATTTTCAAGCCCCCCCCCCCCATTGAAAAATCCTGCGGACGCCACTGGCCCATTGATGTTTTTTTTGTTGTGTGTCGTGTATACAGACGGTGGTTCACGGCGGAACATTGGCCTTTTTCACGTTTTTTTTTTGGCTTCAGTTTTACGGCATTGTATTTTATGAGAGAAATAGACCTTACTATCCATTGGAACATGCCTTGCACTCAACTATCTCTCATTGTACGTTTACAGTACTGGGTATATGGTTGACTATGAGTTATTTCACGTCGGGCTACGGTGAGTAAAATCGTGATTTTAAGATGTCCCAGACTTTGCGAGTCTTCCTAATAGTCGAGTTCGAATTATTGTTCGATTAAATTTGCCGTCTTTGAGAACAAAAATCGAGCGTTAATGTAATATATATGCCGTTCTCAATTGTATTTTATCAGTATTAATATATCACAACTCCAAATGTTTTTACAGGTTTACTTGAAAATTTGGTTCACAGTAGACTTGTTGCAATCATGGGAAAACTCTCATACCCCATTGTGTTGGTGAACCTCAATGTTATGTTAACATCTCAGAGTTCGCAGAGGTTACCCGTTCATGTGTCGTCAAGATATGTGGTATGTAAGACACTAATAAATTATACGGTTATATGTACATAAGAACTCATACAAAAAATAACTGTGTAGGTATAACCACAGCATTAGCCTGTGATTTAGCCTGTCTTGACCATAAAATACAATACAATCTATATATATATTTTATACCAAAGGCTGGGCATTAACGAGTTAACAATTGAAATTAAGTTAAAACGTTAAGTTAATTTTAGTTAAGTTAATTAACTCGTTACTTTTTTTTCAAGTTGACTATTAACTTAATATGTTACTTTTTTTCAGGATTAACGTGTTAACTTCAAGTTAATTTTATTTCAAAAATATCTAAATTAAGTTAATTTTCGTCCGAAGAATAATGCAAATTTATGAATGTGTTTTTACTTTGATGTATCATTTTAAATTTCCTCAATCATTTTCTTGGACGTAAAGAAAAACTATCTAATAAACCATATTATGTGTCTGGAATTTTTTATTTTTGAAAATTAGCAAATTTTAACTTTACACTAAGTTAAGTTACTTTTCTTTCAAAGTTAACTTTTTACTTAACGAGTTAACGAAAAAAAAAATACGAGTAACTTTTAACTTAACTTAACTTAAATATTTTAAAATAATTTAACTTAACGAGTTAAAGAAAAACTTTAACTTTCCCAGCCGTGCTTATACCGTACTTCAATACTACAACGCTCTCCCATGAACATGAGTAATCTGTAAACGATTAAGGGGCCTGCTCGAGTCTCTTTAATAAGGGGTAATATTTAGGCAATATGCAATTTCCTTGCCGCCCATAGCATTTTGTGTTAGTCGTCAATGATGATATTAGTGTGAGTGTGATTGTATGTGGGTACCGGCTAACTACGCACGCATGGCAACGGCACAGCCAATCGAAAATAAAATGCATGATTATTTGCCCAAAACACAATTTACAGGAAAAACTCTCATCGTAAAGTGGTCTGATTTGATTATTTTTTTTTCGTTAAAAAGAGGAGAATTTTGCCACAGGCCGTATTGGACTTCGATTTTAATTTATTTGCATAAAATAAACATAATTAAAATAACAAAATCATGTGAAAATTCAAAATTGGTCATATTCAAAATCGTACTTTATGGTTTAGAAATAAAATTTTGAAAATCCAAGTCCAATACGCCTTGTCAAAAGTGTTTCTCTTTCAAGAAAAAAAACTATGGTAATCGGATCACTCTTTGAGGTGTGAGTGACTTTTCTATACGGCGTGATTTTGAGCAAAAAAACAGGTCACGGAAGGCCCTTTAAAGAACGAGCCTCTATATCTCCACGTTTTCCATACACTAATAATGTCTTGTCTCGTAGTATAAAGTCTATGAGTATTGGGTATTTGTATCAGTATATGTCACATAATGTCCATTATAAAAATCAAAATATTTATTGTAATTGTCAGGTGTACCATTGAAAACTGATAACTAATAATATAATATTATTACTAAACTTAATATAATTTTTCATTTTACTATTTTACAGTTCGAAGCTTATCTCTATGATTTATTCATGTGTTATATGGCGGCCATCGTCTTATATTTGATTGTTTATGAGCCGTTTGCGAAATTGACCAAAAATCTGTTAAAAGGTAAATTAATGCCTATTGGTTTTAGTCGTTTATATTTTGTAATGAATCGATCGTCAAACCTATTTAGAACTTAAGATCTCCATAATGGCATTTTTGTTTTATTTTAAATTTCATTTAATTTGTAAATACAATAACTATTTTACTATTTTATAATAATATCTGAAGAAGTATCTAATCTCCACTTGCAATCAAACCTGCTGTCAGTGGCGTAAATAGGGAGGTTATAATATCCTATATATATACGCCACTGCCAGCAGTACTCTAATTCAAATACGCTATTCTCTATTGCACTTTGGAAATAATAATATTATCCAAGGCAATCTTATAGAATTAGTTTTTATAATTATTATAATAATATATAATATTAAATTAATAAATCATTATTCATTGTATAATAAATAAATGTGTAGAGTAAATATTATAATTAGGTTCGTAACTAACATAATAATAATTTGCCTATCTTTCTTTTTTTATATTATATTTTTAGGAAAAGTTTTATCTCGTCGACCAAAAATGGAACATCGATCGAAAAAACAACTACCAGTAAAACTATTAAAAAAGACTTAACTATTTTATAATATGTACCGTAGGATGGGGTAACTTTGGTATACTTATACACTCAGAAAAATAACGTTCTTCGTTCTTATAACAATGCATCATTAATTTAATGATTTACTAACAACTTAAAGTTAATGTTAAATATACTTAAATTAAAGAAAATATCTTTAATAATAATTCAATTTCTATAAATGCGGCTTCTTAATTGTATGTCAACATCTTACAAATAATGAACAAAATGTATTATGCATGCCAATTTTAATTAATCTTATAATAATAGTTTTTATTTTAATGATATTATTTCTTTAATTTATTGTTTATAATAGTTTATAGATTTAATGGTAACATACGTTATATTGAAGACTATATTTTGTGCGGTTGCATTGAAATAATAAATAATTGCATTACGTTATTGTATCTTATCATACATTCAATGAAATAAAAATAATATTTCTTAAAATCAAAGACATTTGTCGTTAATAATATGAGAAATATTGACATAGTACTTTTCTATACAGTAGAATCCGCTTATTTGGGACACCGCATAAAGGGGACAACCGCTTAATGGGGACAAATTATTGTCATAGTCCCGAACCGATGTATAAGTTAAATGCAATTTAACTTCGTTTATCCGGGACAAACCATCGGTTATAAGGGACAAAAATAAAATTGTTTAACTAGATATTTTGGCCTAAATTATCTACTTTCTTATCGAAACTGTAATTATCTAATCTTTAAGGCTCTATTATATTTTATATACGCACGTATATGTACATATAATGTACATACAGGTAATATACGTATATCTTACGTCAATTATGTCAATCATTTTTTTTTTCTATTACCACGATAAGAGTCAACTAGCCTACGTACAAAATCGAAAACCTTTAGTTCACGTTCTTTCGTCGATGTGTATTAATGTATGTGCGTTTTTATTAATCCCAGTTTGTGTTAGTACCTAACAATATTATGTCTCGTAAAGATTTAACATTGATTGAAAAAATGTCAATACTGGATAAAATTAAGGCTCAACCTCATAATAGTCTTCGTGAGTTAGAGAAATTAATAGACACGTCTAAATCGGTACTAAACCGATTGAAAAATAATGAAATAGCTATTCGTGAACAATATGAAAAATTAAACGACAACAAAAGTGCACCTGTAAACAGAAAAAGAAAACGAGAAGGCAAAGATCCCGAAGTAGACAAAGCTATGAACGAATGGTTTTCTGCTGTTACAGAACGTGGTGTTCGTATTTCGGGCCCCATGTTAGAGCAGAAAGCTGAATTTTTTGCTCAAAAAATTGGACATAGTGATTTTAAGGCCACAGAAGGTTGGATCCTTTGAGTGCTGAAACTCCATATTCTTTGGCTAAATATTTTTCTAAGATTGAACTTTTATTTTCATCAAATGATTTGATTTCACTCAATAACTATACCTGCTATAGTTCAATTTCTTATTATAATACGATTTATAAAACTAATTATATCCTTACATCTTTTACACAAAATAATACTATATTAGCTTATAAATTAAAAGAAGTGTTATGTTTAAACTATAATATTTTTTTTCTGTGTGAAACGTTAAATATTGTTTCACACAAAAAACATTTCATGAGTTATGTTGTTAGCCATTGTTTACCACAAATTTATGTTTTAAAAAATATTAAGGAACTTATGGGGCCTCCTATTCATTTGTATGAATTACCTACAAAGGAAACAGTTATTCGATTAAAACATTATTTCTAAGATACTGTGGTTTTGTAATTTTAAATATTATATAATATTAAAATATAAGTGTAAATAAATATAAAAAATTAATATCATTATTATAAATAATGAAATTGTATATTTTATATTAATATATTAAGCTGTATGTAATTTTTTTGTCTATAATTTTATATAATATATTATTGTAAGTGAAAATAATATACCCCAAAATTATATAATATCATATATAAGATTATTTATTAATTTTATAATGTCATACCTAAACTTATAATAATTTTTTTTTTAAACTTGTTTTTTATTCTGTGACTTAGTTTGTATTATTTGTATTGTTCAGTTGTACTATTGTTATACTATTGTTCAGTTGTACTATCTTATTTATTTTTTAATAAACATTTAATTTCTATAGTTTATTATATTAAGCTGTATTTATTTATTATAGATTTAAATATTATTTTCATAACAATGGCAACACCTGCATTATTCTACAAAAAAAAATATTATTAATTTTTACAATGTTTCATTAATTTTAAGAAAGATATAAATAAAATGCCTTTAAATTTTATGATAATATTTGTGAACTGATTTAAAGGAAATTATTCATAAAATGTATGAGGAATAATTAGATATAAAGAATAATAGTTCTTTAGTCTTAAGTAAATATTTTAAAAACAATGGAAGTACTAGGATGACATCAATGATACAACTTTCATTATTTTAAAACAATTTATCTTCTAATCAAGGGATCATTTTTTAAATTCAATAACACCATATCATTAATTCTATTCAATAATTTCTATAATTCTAGTAAAATAGAAATACAATTAATGCAATTTTGATTTAATTAAATGAAATTGTAAAACATAGGTCTAATGAAAAGTTGGTACTTATTTTAATGAATAAATATCATAGGCTCGAAATCATGCCCAATTTTCTTTAATTTAATATACATTTTTACTTAAATATATGAAATATTTCTGTGAGTGTATTTTTATTCCCCAGGGTACCATGATGATTTAATTTTTTTTCATAAAATTTGGTTAGTTACTCTGATATCATAATTAATTCGTTATTAATTATTATTTATGCTGTGCATATGGCTATTATCATCAAATCTCAAAGTATTGGGTTGGCGTCAGAAATTTCTGCATAAGCCAGTTATCAATGGTAATCATAAGATCATATATACTTGTGATGAATAATTTTGAGGGGTGGAATTACTAGGATTATTTTGAGAAAGATCTTTTCTGACAATATTGTTAATATCGAAAAATGATCATCATTTTAAGGTGTTTTTGGAACTCACTGAGAGCAGAATAAAGGTCGGGATGATGTTTTCCAATAACGAGCTGGAAGCGATTGTGCCACCCCTCACTTACATTGTTTGTTTTATGTGAACCAGTCAGAGCTGCTTGGTGTTGATTCCAAATTTCTGGTGGATACCGTGGAAGATACCCTCGTCTTCTTCCTCGAGCTATTACACCAAGAACATAATTATTTTTTCAAAATATTCAAAAATTGGTAATAGATCTTCAGGCGCATCATTTTCCAAGAGCGAGAAAATGCGAGGAACTTCAGCCAAAGGTACGAATGCCAACGCTAGCATCATATGAGTGTAAACTTTCAATGAACGATCGTCGGGATCATTGTATGCGGCTTGAAGACCAGCAGACTGAATTTGTCGATAAATTGATTGGCCGAAATGAAAAAAGCAACAACTAAGAGGAGAATTTGGATACACTTCTTCACATGCGTTGATTATGGTTTTTTCAAAGTCAGTCATGATCTTAGACGGTTCACAAACAATCCTGAGTTCGTTAAAAGAAGATTGTACTGCTCTGAGCACAGAAGTATACTAAACAGTTTCCTTTGACAACAACAGTGCATAGACAAATGGCACAGCGACTGCGTCATGAACATCATGTTGTTTGCATGTTCCCAGAATCGTGAAAACTTGTGTGAAAATAGTGGGACACACCTAAGAATTATCAAGGCTGGCAATTAAAATCTTGTTAAAATGTTACTTTTTTGTTATCTAACTTTTAACTTAATAAGTTACAATATTTTAAAATATTTAATGTGTTAACCCTAGAATAGTAACGATAATTTACGTGATAATTTACGAATTAAAATACAAATCAGTAGAATGTCCATATAATGGCGATGAAGTGCGATAAAGGCAACTGGCAAGATACCTGTACTTTTTCATAAATATTATCTTTATCACCACATAACCGCGGGCCACGGCAATATGCTATTAATTAAATTTTGAAATTTATTATTTCGGGAACAATAACCGTCGGGAAAAAAGGTTTCGGGTTTTTGGATTTTTGGGCAAAATACCATTCGGGAAAAAGTTCATTCGGGAATTTCGATTTGGGAAAAACGGCGGGTACCGGTACTCACACACCATTTGACACGTGATAACCGTTTGACCTTGATAACTAATATTTTTTTCGTGATTTCGTCACTGAGTACCATTATTGGTACTCATGGCGTATGAAGATGGGTCTATGAAAATACCGTGGCAGTAAACTTGATAATATACAGAATTCAATACTGAATACATAAATAGATATAATAAAATGTCAATGCAAATTATGAAAATTGGAGTGGCCTGGATAAAATTAATTTTCCCAGCCTGAATTCTTTTCCCACTCAGTCACCCATCACATGACAAAACATTTTTTTATCGATATTAATTTTAAATAAAAATAATAGGAAAATAAATAATATAAACATTTGCTTATGCCAATAAATATTTCAAAACGAGTGTCAATATTTTGAAAATTGTATGGTGCATAGAAATTCCCAATATAAGCATTTAGTGATAATTGCATGTATATAATATGATAAGGTATTCCCTTATAGCTTCCGATACCCTATGAAGGCCATGGGCCATACATGTAATGTGAGTTAGTTTAGGATAAAACACTTTTAACTTATATTACTAATATATAATATTAAATTAATAACTCATAATTCATTGTATAAAAAATAAATGTATAGAGTTAATATAGGTAGGTTCGTAACTAATATAATAATAATTTGCTTATCTTTCTTTTTTTTTTATATTTTTAGGAAAAGTTTTATCTCGTCGATCAAAAATGGAACATCGATCTAAAAAACAGCTACCTGAAGCAGTAAAACTATTAGAAAAGACTTAACTATTTTATAATATATACCGTAGGATGGGGTAACTTTGATTTCACGGGGTAACTTTGGTACACTTATATTTTTATTCCCCAGATTACCATGATAATTTAATTTTTTTTCTTAAAATGGGGTTAGATGCTATGATATCATAATTAATTCGTTATTAATTATTTATGCTGTCCATATGGCTATCATCAAATCTCGAAGTATTGGGTTGGCGTCAGAAATTTCTGCGTAAGCCAGTTATCAATGGTCATCATAAGATCATATATACTTGTGATGCCTAATTTTGAGGATTGGAATTACTAGGATTATTTTGAGAAAGATCTTCTCTGACAATATTGTTATAATCGAAACATTATCATCCCTCTCCTGATTTCAATCTTAAGGTGTCGATAAATATTCACTTAGAAACTCGTCCACGAGGCATTACAACTATAGCAGCACATAATATTATGCTTTTCTATAAAGTATAGAAAATACAAATATGAGTATATTAATTTTTCCTCTTGTGAAAAAAAATTTTTCAAAGAATAACAAAATATAACCATTCAATAAAAATAAAAATAGAAATGAGCAAAAAAATTACCTACCCACGTTCACTGTCAGCCAATATTGTAGACGCACATTATAAACCGAACATCGAATTATCGAAACCGATACTTATTCAACTTAACAATGACAAACTGGGGGGCGCACCCCATCCTCAATTCCTAAAAATAGATTTGCAATGTGCATAGTATATATTTGATCATATCTTTTCTTTTATATTATATTCCTGGAAAAAAAAGTAAACTGTTAAACAAATTATTATTACAAGTAAAGCAAATATAGTTATGATTAACTTTTTTTTATTTTTAGTTTTTTAGTTTTTATTTGTAGTTTGTATGTAAGTTGGTGTATTCATTTAAATTTTAATAGAACATAATAAATAATATAAACATGTTACCTATATAAAAACTATTTAAGGTTAATATATTATTTTGGTCTGTGTATTCTAGTTTTAAAAATGTGTCAATAGTTTTGATTATCTATTAAATATGTATTTATATATTTTGTTATTTGTTATTTTTTAAATATTTCAAAACGAGTGTCAATATTTTGAAAATTGTATGGTGCATAGAAATTCCCAATATAAGCATTTAGTGATAATTGCATGTATATAATATGATAAGGTATTATCTAACCTAAAATTTTTAAGAGTTACATCAAAAACTATAATAGATTTTGTCAAAAACCAATTTTAGATTCTTAATTTTAAATTTTAAGTGAAACGATGATGTGTGTTATTATTATTTTTTTTTGTTGTGTCTGCAGGGGCGGAGTGGGAACCAAATCCAGGCCGGGAGTTTAAAATTTATCCAGGCCACCCACTAAATTTTTTGTTTCTCGCTTCGCTCGAATTTGGTTTTTTATATTTGCCTATTCCAAAATTACTTTCAGTATTAGAAAAGTATTTCAATCACTATCTTGCTATTTCTTTTACCTTCTATCTTCTAACACATTGTATTAATATACCACTAAGTACTAATACCTGAAAATCCGAAAACATTATCACTATCTATAGAGATTTTAGATTCTAAATTATTACTGTTTGATGTTTGATCTGAAAAAAGTTAAATTAAATTAATACAAGTACATTTTATTCAAAATATTGAAATATAAGAGCAAGATAAATTATCAATGAGGAAATGCACTAGGCAAATTAATTACATTTATTACAAATGTGTTGGAAATTCTTATATATTTTCTTAATTTTATTTATGAGCAATTTAAATAATAATAAGTTGTTCAATTTTTTTTAAAATTAAAAATAATCCCAACATAAGTCATAACTAGTAAACTAGAACATTTAACTAAATAGTAAATAAAATACTTTTAAGGTACACAAAATTACTTAAAAGGAAAAACGTGGATACACCATAAACGACACCGTCGACACACTCAACACCAGTGACCAGGGGACAAATATCAAACACTAATGACTAATTTGTTTGGGTTTATTACAGATATTCTTTATAAAAATAACAATGACCAAAGTAAAGTGACCAATAATACAAAATTAATATGTATTAATGTATTATCATTGATTGTTATAAAATATAGAAAAAATACTAGTATTAGACATTAGTAGTACTTATAATCAATGGTATTATTAGTTATTATTAGCCATTTGGCATTGCTATATTCGTCGCCACTCAACAGCCCTACAGGGTACAAATAAATAATTTGCTGGTTTCAACATGCGGAAATGCGTCGAATCAGTAATTTATAATTTCTTAGTAGGTAATTAGTTCTGTTGGATTGAACCGAGACCACACACTATCTGGGTGTTTTTTTATAAAAATAATCGACCCATATAAATATTATATTGCTTTGATTTTATTTGATATCTATATTTATGTACCAAATATTTTGTAATTTTTTATCCAAAGATTTCTCATAAGAGTATACGATTGTACGAGGCAATTATAATTTACTATTATTTCATTAATAATATTTGCAGTAATACAAAAATTTAATAGAAACAAATTTTTGATGCATTTAGCATTAACTAATATTTTGTAAATTAATTTAAATTAAAAAAAAATCTAACAAAATGGCCAGGCCACCAGGCCATAGTATGGTCCAGGCCATCTGGAAAATTCCCATTTCCAGACCGGCCACTCCGCCCCTGTGTGTCTGTCATCACGTTTTAGGACAGTCAAAATTCTTAGATTTTCTTCAAAAGTATCTAGTGACTAGTTGGTACTTTGGGGGGGTCAAAAGTAAAAATTTCCCAGTAGTTTTCAAATGCGACTTGAAAAATAAATAAAACAATTAAGGAAAAACGGTAATATTTACACAAAACTGTTTTCGAAAAAATCGATTTTGGTTTATGGTAATTCTTAAACAAATTAAAGTAGGTACATGAAGTTTTCACTGGTTGTTAAGGTTGTTTATATTTCCATTTTCTATACATGATAACAATTTTAAAATATTTTGATATGTTTGAAACTGTTTAGGGGCATTTTCAGTTTTCCATTTTATTAGTTTGTTATTCCATGAATGTCAATAAAACTTTATTTGTTGAGTAAAAATACTTGAAATTTAATACAAGGCTCCTACTATATTGTTACAATGACATTTGAAAAATATTAAAAATCCTTACTCACAGTTTTTTTTATAAGCATTTATAAAGATCGAATTTCGACAAAATGTATCAAATTTAAAATTGAATAATTATTTAGTAGTTAAAGATGTATAAAATGTTCAATTTTTATATCTAAGGATTGAAAATTTAAAACATGATTCCAAACTTCCAAAGTATACTATTATATGTCTACTATAGTATCACGGTTTGTTGTTGATGCTTAACAAGTTATAAATACCTAATGGCTATTGATGAATTAGAAAATTAGTTATGTCGCATAACAAATTTAGACGCATTTTAAACAGTTTAAATAGACAACTCCTGCTTCGATATAATATACCTACTCACACAGTTATTTTATTTTTTTACTTAGCTGGATATAATACGTGTAACGATACTATTTAAAAATGAAGATACAATTGCTTATATTCTTGTCTGTGCTCGGAGGTACACCCGTACACAGGTCTAAGGTATTATCACAGAATAAATAAATT